AAAAAAAAAAAAAGAAATGGGTGGCAAGGACAGTGCCTGTGGCTCAGTGAGTAGGGCGCCCACCCCATATACCAAGGGTGGCAGGTTCAAACTCAGCCCCAGCCAAACTGCAACAAAAAAATAGCCGGGCATTGTGGTGGGTACCTGTAGTCACTGCTACTCGGGAGGCTGAGGCAAGAGAATCGCCTAAGCCCAGGAGTTGGAGGTTGCTGTGAGCTGTGATGTCATAGCACTCTACTGAGGGTAATAAAGTGAAACTCTGTCTCTAAAAAAAAAAAAAAGAAAGAAAAAAGAAAGCCAAGTCCATGCATTGGGCCTCTGTCCTTCCCCTTGGGCAGCACCTGTGGCTCAAGGAGTAGGGCACTGGCCGCATAAGCTGAAAGTGGCAGGTTTGAGCCTCACCCTGGCCAAAACTGCAAAAAAAGAGAAGGAAATGGGTGGCAGAGGGCTACACACTTGCAGTTATTTATCTATAGACACAATATCTCTGGACTGATTCATAAGAAACTGATTGGCTCCAAGGAGGATTTGTTAGGCTGGATAATACCCACACCTACTCTCCAACTTTCTGAAAGATCCATGGTCTAATCTGTGGATTAGACTGTGAACGTGTTGCCTTTCTTGGCAAAAGAGATTTTCCAGATGTGATCAAGGGAAAGATCTTGAGATGGGGAGGTTATCCTGGATTAGTTGGGCGGGCCCCATGTAATCACGAGGGTCTTATAAGAGGGAGGAAGGAGGACCAGGGTCAGTAGTAGGAGAAGCAGGAAGATGCTGGCTTAAGGATGGCAGGAGGCGCCCCAAGCCGAGCCATGCAGGCAGCACCTAGAAGCTGCAAAAGGAAGGGAAACAGATTTTGATGGTTTTCATTTCTGACTTCCAGAACTGGAGAAGAACAGATTTATTGCTTAAAGATGTGAAATGAGACTGGGCGCCCATAGCTCAGTGGGTAAGGGCACCAGCCACATACACTGGAGCTGACAGGTTCTAATCCAGCCTGGGGCCCGCCAAACAACAATGACAACTCCCACCACAAAACAGCTGGACATTGTGGTTGTGGCAGGTGCCTATATTCCTAGCTGAGTCAGGAGACTGAGGCAAGAGAATCGCTTAAGCGCAACAGTTTGAGGTTGCTGTGAGCTGTGACGGCACAGCACTCTACTAAGGGTAACTGAGTGAGACTCTGTCTCAAAAAAAAAAAAAAAGATGTGAACTGAAATAAAATCTTAAGGCCCCCAGGCAACTGAATGGATCTTCTCTTGGCACTCCCCTCCACAAAACAAACAAACAAACAAAAAACACTTAAATCTGAGTCGCTGGCCATGACCAGAAGGGAGGTCAAAAACACCTACTTACACTCTGTCCCTTTTGGAATTATTCTTTGTAACAATAAGATATGAAAATCATTAATAGACCAAAGGCCACAGAACATGAAGGCTAGGCTACACCTTTATCACTTGAGTCTCAGGATATATCCAGTGGCTTGTCTTTGATTAACACATTTCCTGGCTTGGC